AAATGATGATAGAGGAGGATGATATTAGTTGATGTTGACTGCAGCATTTATGATACTAATAGTAACCTTCTTTTTAGTAATAAAGCAACAGTAATGTTTGTGCTATAATATTTCTCTATGAACATGATGATTTAATTGTAAAACTGTTATTTTTGTAGGTGTTGGCAGGCCATGAAGGGCCAGTTGCATGCATTCATTTTAGTCCTGTTACTGCTCTATTAGCAACGGCTTCATGGGATAAAACAGTTAAATTGTGGGATGTGTTTGAAAATAAAGGATCTAGAGAAACACTTCACTTGTCAACTGATGGTCAGTCCCTACTGTTACTAATATTATGTTTCTTTGCAGTTTTACCATATACACACTACTAAATCTATCTTTTTATATTTATTTAAAATCATAAGGTTGTCTTAATTATATTATAAGTCAATCATGACGTCATCACTGCAACTCCCAGTGTTATTTGTCTATCCCTCACAGTTCAATATTTTTTCAAGTAGTGCTTGATTTTTTTAAGTTCGTGTGCAAAAAAAAACACCTAATTTATTCATCATTGCTAGGCTAGTGTTTTTACACCTAGCACTACGACGTGCCCTGCACCAGCGGAAAGAAAGGAACAATCATCATTTGTTGACAAGTGGTTGAAAAATTACTTTCGTAAAACAAGGTTGCTTAGAACCTGAAGAAGCTATTTCAAATTCAAAATTAAATTTGAAAAATTAAGGAATTCCTTGGGTCAGTGGACCCTAATAATAAAATAAGGGATGAACATTTAAAGCCCCATTCCTGGCAAAATTTCAGTTAAGGAAAATCTGATTGTTATATTATATGTAAAAATGTAAAACAAGTTTGATTTTTTGTGTACCACTTAAAAAATAAATGCGGATAATTTTTTTATGCTTGATTTTGCCATAGGTCTGTGTAAGAAATATAGTAGGCGCTAGAAGCATTAGCCTCTCAATACTGCTAGGCTAGGCCTAGACTTACCTCAATCACGGTTGACATGATATTTTATGTTGCTAGTATTGACACATGTGAAATATAATATGTAATTGGAATTATTTCAAATTTGTTAAAAAAAATGATTCTGACCGAGATTTTAACAATAAACAAAAACATACCTCAGGCCTACTCGATCGATCGCAGTGTGCAAGATGCGAAAGAGAAAAACTAATCTCATTAGAGAGGGCGCTTTATTGTCTTTATAATGTATACACAAAAGAAAGAGCATTTCATCGGATGCGACCTACAACCTTTGAATTTGCCTAATAACAAAGCATTTGTCCAGAAAATGGTAATCTCCTGTGAGAAATAGTTTCTATTTCTTATTTTTTTATCTTGATGTGTAAAACTAAAATTTTGCCAATATTTTTCCATAGTTTATGATAATTAGAGTAATGCATATGCATTTTTTTCAAATGCTTTAAGGAATGCTTATTTCTTTGATGAATGTCTATCAAAATGGCATTACAAGTTCTTCAAACACTATAAAATAGTTATTAATTGTATCTGAACTGATGTGTAACGTTTTGCTAGCTGTATGTTAGCACGTAATGCAGGAGCATATTAGCATAAGCACACGCAGCTAAATATAATACACACACAGAGCAGTATCATATCACTATAGCAACTGATGACTGCTACAACAGTTGGTTATCAAAACTAACATTAAAAGACACCGATTGACTTATAAATCAATTAGTACAGTTGCATACATGGTACACTAGGTTGAAAGTTATTATACTAAGTAAGATTTAATGCATTTAAAAATTTTCCTTCTGCCCTTGCTGGCCCTCAGGAAATTTGTTCAAGCATTAAATCTAACCTTTGTATGATAATTTTCTGCTAGTGTACTATGCACAGCTCTACTAATTGCTTATTAGAAAATTTAGATTACTTTGCTTTTCTTTGCATCAAGATCCAAAATCTTAGGATGTATCATTATAAAGATTTGTTTCTCATTTATAAAGCACTTTGTGTAGCTTTTCGACCTGATGGAAAAGAGTTGGCAGTAGGCAGCCTAGATTCTCAGATAACCTTTTGGAATGTGGAAAGTGCCACTCAAACCGGATCCATAGAAGGAAAATTTGACATTGCTGCAGGTCGATCATCTTCTCAATTAGTCACTGCCAAAAAAACTGCTTCTTCAAAGTGAGTATAAAGTAATAATGTAGTGCTTCTGGTTTGGAATTGGATGAAAAGGCTGGGATTATGATTGGAAGGAATGGTTTTAGTATGGATTTATTTAAGGAATGGTTTTAGTATGGATTTATTTAAGGAATGGTTTTAGTATGGATTTATTTGATTTTTTAAAAGTTTGCTTGGTGTTTAAACTTCTTTTTGTAATCATATTGAGAAAAGCCTATCAATCCTTTAATTATTTTAATCTATATTTGCTCTTAAGCATTAAACTGAGATGTTTATTTGTATTTTTCTTTGTTGTTGGTTGGTCATTTAACATTAAACATGTGGCACTGTTGTTTGTTTTCATATGCAGATCATTCACAAGCTTGTGCTACTCAGCTGATGGTAAGTGCCTACTTGCTGCAGGCAAATCAAAGAATGTCTGTATTTATAGTATTGCAGAGCAGATGTTACTTAAGAAGTTTGAAATATCCACCAACATGTCTCTTGATGGCATGCAAGTAAGACTTTCTGTTTCATTGACAACAATATTTTCAATTTGAAAACAAATTTACCAATTACTGACTAGCTATATAATCTGACCATCTTCGTTTTCACCGGTAATACATTTAGGTTAATATGTTGGAATAGTTTAATGTGGTTTGAATACTATAATATTGTCTGATGCAGCAGAAAAAACATTGCAAGTACGTATAATTTATTAGTGGTTTAGTAAAAACAAATTTACTTCTGGGGGGAACATCTATTTTATAATTAAACATTTAGGTAAAATAGGTCCACTAAATTTATCTGTATTTCAATCACTAAATTTATCTGTATTTCAATTAAACATTAATTTTGTTTTTTGATTGAAGGAAATGTTAAATCGACATAAAATGACAGAATTTGGAGCAATGGCATTGATTGACACTGCTAGTGATGGAAGTGCAGGCCAGCATCTTTGTTTACCAGGTGTTACAAAAGGGGACATGAGTTCACGATTCTTCACTCCAGAGGCTAAAGTGTCTTGTGTGCGCTTTTCACCAACAGGTTAATTCTTCTCGTTTAAATATATTATACAATTCACATGTAACACAATGTTGTTAGGGAAAAGCAAAATAAGTATCTAATGTTGTAATTGCATGTAAAAAAAAATCAGATTTCAGCAGTGTTTAAATTGATTGTGATTTTAATAGCAACTCTCGAAATAAACATTTAGCTTCTTGTGTAAAATTTTGTCTTGTTTCATATTGCTACTAAAGAAGGTGATTATACTTTTTAGGTTCATTATGGTTTCTGTTGATTTGAGTTACATAAACATTCAAATATATTTTAGCATTTTTAAAGTTATTAAAAGTTTACTTTTAGAATAGTTATTACTGTATCAGCTTTAATGATAAATGCATTCTAAATATTTGAAAATGATGTGAACAATATCTTACAGACTACACTGTATATCAACCACAAGTGTTTTTTGACACAGCCAACTTTGTTGACTCATTAGGGAGCTTTCGATTGCATGACTACGGTAGGACGTAGCAAGTAATGATGTCACTAAGTCATCTGCGCATGCGAGAACGTTAAGGTGACCTCGTCGAGTAGATTCTGGAACGCAATTTGGCCAAATCTACGTATGCAAAG